TAATTGTGTAATTACAAGATTACACCCGATACACCATAATGTTGTTTTACGTGTACATCGACAATTACACTAAAGCTTCCAAATAAAGATTAAAGCCGAATTACATTACCAAAATAACACCGATGTATATACATGTTTTCATTAAATGATACACCTGGGGTACACCACAACGTTAACTTACCAACAACGTTCAACATTAGTTCATTTCCGCCAAATAAATTATAAACTTTCTGCCAACCCGAAACCAGGATTCCAGGACGAGTGATGTTAACGATGTGTATATAATCCATTGCGAAAATACTCGTGATATATGCGGAGAATTGACAGCAAACAGGTGATAAGGTCACAGTGTTGTACAGTACGATATCTGCAAGTACTAAAACTCTATATATTGGTGGTACATAAACTGAACTCTGTCGCGCAATGGCTGCATTTAAGTATCTGCGCATGCGCAAAATCATATCGTGGAATACTCTATTCTTCAGATAGACTGGCCCAGCTGATTTTTTTTCACTTAAATTATTATAATAATAAAATAATAAAAAAGTTTTGCGAAATTTGGGTTGAACGCGAAACTACCATGATTGATTTCGCGTTATTTGTATTAATTTAAACTTTAAAACGAAATATATTGCACAGACTGTGCCAGTGTATACTTCAGACAGTATAAAGGAAGTACTAGATTGGATTCTTTCAAATGTTGATACGTATCGTATCACGGTTCTTATATTAGGCTAACCTGTAAAACATGAACTACGTTAAAATCGAGATATTTATAATATTTTTTATCGCATTGAAAAATTGATACATGTGGTTCCCACATTAACCACCTAGAACAACTCCACTTCTCCCAATCCTAGCGCGGAACAACCACATAATTATTGATAGCACTGCCATGGACGTCATTGAACATTGATTTGGCGTACATTCTGTCAGAATCTGTATCATTTCATATTACATTGATACGCATGCGCACTGATCAACTATGGTATTGGTATGGGATAGGATAGGATCTAGTGGGTCGCCAGTGAACAACGTTACTCGACCATTGAGGACTCTCAAATATACACTATATTCGAGTTCAACGTATTATTCAGATTATTGATGAGCTGAACAAAGTTCGCATGTGCCCTTTGTCTAGCATCCACTGTATCAGTTGACTGATCGTTGTATGCAGGTCATAAGAAATAAACATGTACATTTTTATCTTGTTGTGATTTTTAATTATACCACAGTTACGAGAAGAAACTTGTATCAGTGGTTATACCCAGTCAAGTTCAACGTCAACGTTGTTCATAGTATTTAGACCGCAGCTACGAGTAATCGTTTCACTTATGTTAACTGTTGTCATCTTTCCAAATAGTGCTTCGTTCATGTTTTTTTTAAAGACTAAAAACCTGCGATAAAGACATGATTGTGTTTACAGAACGAAATCATTCACAGGTATTTAGTCTATATATAGATTTGGAAACATTCATAACTATACCCGGTTGTATTTTATAAGATATAGTCCATCCTTGTCCCAGGGTTCTTGTGCAACAAATCCTTGGACTAGGAACGATCAATCAGACAATAAAGCCTAATAAAATAGTAGATAAGTAGGAATTCTGTTTTATTTTTCTATACAATTTTTTGGTCATAACTATGTTTCATTGTTTTCCTTACCTTTATTTTGGAGATACGCGTGCTACAATCACGTTTAAAGCTGCTCATATTAACCAGTTTTGGGAAGTGCTCATTTTTTTAAAATAGCCTTTAAAGACACGCCATGAGCCAGAGGGGTGTTGTGAGGGAGTATCCCCAAACACCAATCCCCTCGATAACCCGTGGTTTTGCTACTTATACACTGGCTATTTTCAATTTAATTTGAAGTATTAGGCAAGGTCAACACAATTTCCCCATCAACAAATCATTCTCTAATTTCCACAATCTCTTGACTCTGGACACACAGAAGGCAGGATCAAACCTGCTATCGCTCTTTATTCTCCGATTTTTAATTTTAATAACACATTTCCTGTATCATCAGTGTCAATTTGTAACGGCCAATGTCGAATTGTGGACACTGAAAGCATAAAATATACGCTCTATACGGACGTGAAAAAGAAAGATGGTCGCGAGGCTACTTACAGGTCTCCAGAGGGCGCCATCAAATTCAGTTTCACGTACATTCCTAACGACTTAAATATGTTTTTTTTTCATATAACATATTAATGAAAACAACTTGCCAAATCACAATGCCTTAGCGGAATATCGCCCGTATACACTAATATTAACATGGTGGCCAATGATTGAATGAAACCCGCAAAGACCTATGGGTAATTGGTGTTACCAAATATATTATATAGCCATTGGGATTTGAATTAAAAGCGAGAGTATCTTTTATTAAAAACAGTCATGCCATCATAAAATTCACTGTAATAAGCAAATATATTACACAGTTACCGGCATGCCTAGTTCAAGTATATGTAATGTCGCTACCGCTACTTGTTGGTAGAAAATTCATTGAAAGAGTTGAACAGATTTGACATTATATATTTGTGGTATCATTATATTGTTATAATTAATTATTGATTGTGAAATGTCTATAAATAAATATAAACTCGGTAGTGGAGCTGGACAAACAAAGTGAATCTGAGTAAAAACACTGAGTGATAGTTACGACTGCCCTCTCTGGTGATTTTTCTTTTTTGAACACTGTCTTTAGACTAGCGCCTTTGTTACATGATAGAGCAGCCTTTGAGCACCCGGAACTGTTGGCTTCATATACACTGGATATCTACAAGCCAATAATCCTACATGTCAAACTTTAAACTTCTGACCCATATACCTCTATACCACTACTCAGTCATCTGTTTATCCTTTGATTGCTATTATCTAGTCATTGTGATCTAGATTGCGATGTAGTGCATTTGCCTTTTCAGCAATAGGAATAGTAGTTAACAGCTTTACTCGTGCTGATCCATTTTGTTAAACGAAATCCCCCTTCCTGATATAGTTCTCCGATGTTCGTAGCTGTAACAATTTACTACTTATCAGTGTTAGGTAGTTGTCTACATAGGCATGAATGGTGACACCGTTAGTCACTTCACTGTCAAAGTCTTATTATCCTTGTTATCTAGTGTTCCTCTGGTGTAGTATCACGGGGGAAATCTTTCTTCTCTCGGGTTCTCCACACTTGTCAGGGGGGAATCTCGTCTCGTCTCTCTATCTCGTCCCCTTAAGGTACGGGATCGGGAATGTCACTTATACTTTACAGTCAAGACGCACACAAAGAAATACGTTTCAGCTCTCGTCTTAGTCGGTCAATCGAGCACTCTATAAGACACAGCGCCCTGGGGAAAAGTCCCCAAGACTCTCACAAGGCTGAACCAAGACTCGCCCAAGACTGGACTGCGTCAAGGCTCGCCCCAAGACTCTCTTAGACTGGACTCGACTGCCCAGGACTGCACTCTCTCTCTCTCTTCTGCGTCTATCGTGGAGTATTCGCCAAGACCAACTCAAACTCTCTTTATTCATTTTCAAAACTCTAACCAATTATAAAACAGTAAAAAGACTCTAGGGCGTAACCTTCAATCATAAAGCCAATCACACTAAGCACTGAATACGTCATATCTTTTGATTAATCGTTCACTACATTAATAACTACGGATGTAAACTGTCAGAATGAGTAGTCTAAAAAACGGCGGTTATCTGGTAATTAGTTCCAAATCACTGAGCCAAGTTCCGTCCAAAACTTCAAATAGACCTAAACGATGACAGACATAACACAGCAATTCGCTAATAATCAGTTAATTAAGTCGGTTAACAGATACGCAAAAACAAATTCATGACAGTAGTGTGACATTTTAACATGCTGATGATGATGACACGGGTTCAAAAAGGATGAGCAACCATGTCTCAGGCTTCCTAGTAAAATCTTCTGAGGCAGTCTGTAAGGTGTTCTGAAACCTTGACATGAAGCATGCAATCGATGTCTACCATCAATGCTAAAGGCCCCTGTCGAAGTCTCAGCAATATATTCACAATGGTGTTAGTCAAGTTTGATCTATTTTTTTGGAAAGTATACGCCATATTGAGGAATATATCAAGTAATACCACCATGCATGGTGCGATCATTATCAACTTGTAATCTGATCTCCGTAGTAACTAAAGAACTTGTGATATCTGATCATTCTTCAAACGGTTTTATTGCTAAACCATAGTCATTTGGTAATACTACGTTGTGATCTCAGAAAGTTAAGGTCATGTAATAATTTATAATGTCTTTTTCTTTGAAACGTTTATGGACAGCTAATGTCTGGTGTCTACACACCACTCTGGGAGGTCTAAGTTGATTGCATTTCGGCCCAGTTTCTCTAGCTGCTGATTCTTTTCCAAAACAGTCATTTTTCCCTTTATTTTCTCCGCAAACAAGTGTTAAAGTAAACCCCGATCTCTAAGGTTACATCAACCAATCACAATGCAATGACCCAATCATACACACTTCTGTTGATATAATTAATAACACGAAGATGTCATCTTCAAGTTATTGACGTATTGATATATAATCTTATAATTACTCAAGACTCATTTGACCATTCACACATTTGGATTTAAAATAATTAAACTCATTAATTATAACTGTCTTTTAGTTAAGCCGCTAGTTATAATAGGGTTATTACTGGCTATACCACCTTGACACAATTTTATGACTATTTATATCAAGGCAGTGCTGTCATTCGTGCAAGTAAAGTCATCGTTTATGGTCATCAATTAACCGTGATACTTAATAGATGGTTGCCTGTATTATTGGCTCCAGCCTGTATTTCTCTAAATAAGATGTGTATAATTATACAAATATAACAGTATTTTGTGCAAGTTGCAAACTATTAAAGACTGTGGAACGCCGCATGATTTCGGTCTCGGAATAAACCTTAATTTGTCTAAAGTAAATGAATCTAATACCGAGTATTTTGCGGGAATTAATAAACAGCAGGACAACAGTCTTTAATATTCATTTTCAGGTAGCATTCATACAATGTAATTCTGCTATTGTTGTATATACATATATGGCAGTTTGCAGCAATTGTGTTATTTGATCAACCATCACTACAAATTGGGTTCGTGTCAGTTTTTCTTGGTATCAGGAATGGTCTCGGAGATGGGCGTCAAACTGAAGTATGTTTTATCTCGTCGGGACTCCACAGTTCCTTGGAATAATGAATCAGTTCCGTGCAGGTAGTCAAGAATTCCAAGTGCACCAAAATTACAATAAGTCCTATGGGAGAAACATACAAACGTTAGATTTATTTTCTGATCGTTGTTAATAATGTGAAGCCAACTAGCATTTTAAAAACAATTAATTACTTGGCAATGAGCAATGCACTTGATATGATACTTCCAGGGTGGGGGTGAAAAGCTTCATATTTCTTCTTTAACTAAACATTTGATCACCCTCCTCTCTAGTAAATCTCAAATATGCCCATGTTCACCCCAATAAAAATCCACTTCCACCTGCTCTGGGAAGCCAAATAGTTGATTTATGGATGTGTGTAAGTAAACCATTATGCCTTGTATGAATATAATGAAACTATATAATGAAATGATGTATAACGAATTTATAGATGCACTGACAGACAATTTAAATGCAATAGACGATTAAAATTAGTGTAGTATTCTTTTCTGTGTCACAAAACTACATTTCAATAGAATGACGTTAATAATAAACGAATGCCAAAATAAACATAGGCCAAGCTCTAGAAAACAGAATACTGATAAATATGATCAGATTGAAAGATGAGTAAACCATTGAAGAGGTTGTGTTCATCGACACTACAAAAAGGGTTATAAAGTTACGGTATTGTGGACACATTCTTAGTAGTAAGCTTGGAGAAGATTTTATACCAGCAACGGAGAGAAATGGAGGCCGATAATACAATGTTTCAACAAGTCAATAATTGGACAGGGAGGGATTATGAAACAATCAGAAAAATAGCATGCAACACAGATAGAATATTAAGAATGGCACAGTGCAGAAGATTCATGCCAACCACCATCCTAGGAATAAATACGGTACCCGGATGAGACCAATAAAACTGTATTCTTCTAAAAGTTTCTTATTTTAATTGTATGTCACTGAAACCCGGGTGTACGAAAGTAGAAATGTAATTGTCACGAAAACGAAAACAATGGATTTCTTGTATATAACTGGACTACATGTAAATATCAATCAATTGGCTCACGAAAGTTTTTGATTAATGACAGAAGACCAATATTAAACCTAGGGGCCTTTGGTAATAGTGTCCTTGTACCTTTGTTTGTTATTCATAGTTCTATAGTTTTTCTTTAGATAAATTTAACTGATTTTGTTAAACACACAAAACAACAGTCATATCAGAATATCAGAGGCATCAAAATCATCTATTGTCATTTTTCACACAATAAACTACTGAATATTTTGTTTAAATGTCAAAACCCGTAACCATTTTGAAATAACGTCAATTTGGTTCAAAAATAACGATATTTTAGAGAATATTGGACCAAAATATTGGTCGCATTTATTTTCAAAAAATAAATATTTGTCTGCAGGAATGGTTAAATAAATTGTACGACTATTGCAAAAAATTGGAAATTAAATTAAATTAGTCAAAAACTAAAATTTTAATATTCAGAGATGGAACATTACAGAAGATGGAAAAAATTCATTACAACAATCAGACCATTGGTTGTATAAGCTCATATAATTATCTTGGGTTAACATTCAAGACCATTAGAAAAATGGGAGACACCAAGAACAAAAAAAATTATCTAAAATTGCTTGTCCTAAAGATATATAATATAACAACACATTAAGAAAATAATCAAAACTATCGAACAAAAATATGAGAAGATATGCTACATTTAAAACTAAATACAATTTTGAAGAATACTTAACTATTCTGAATCCAAAACAAAGAATTTCAGTAGCTAAGTTCAGAAC